CATTTCACCAACTTCTCATCAAAATATGGATTAATGAGGAAGTCCTACCTGACTTAAAGAATGCCAACATTGTGACCATCTTCAAGAAAGGGGACAAGTCAGTATGTGGGAACTACTGAGGCATTGCCATCCTCTCCATTGCTGGAAAGATTCTTACTTCCATCCTTCTGAATTGCCTCCTCCCCCTTGCAGAAGATGTCCTTCCAGAATCCCAGTGTGGCTTTAGAAAATTTTAGAGTACCACCAACATGATTTTTATTGCACAACTGATCCATAAGAAGTATAGAGGGCAACACCAGGAGATATTTATGGAATTCATTGACCTAACCAAGGCCTTCAACTATATCAGTCATGAAGCATTATGGAAGGTGCTAGCTAGGTTTAGTTGCCCACCAAAGTTCATCAGTGTCCTCCATGATGTGATGACCACCACAGCCCTTTGCAGTAGATCAGAAACAGACCCATTTACCATCCATACTGGTGTCAAGCAGGGCTGTATCATTACCCCAACCCTTTTTTCCATTTATCTGGCTATGATTTTGATTCTCATTCTTGACTGCCTTCCTCCCAGAATTGGGGTTCAGTACTGAATAAACAGTCAGCTTTTTAACCTGCAGCACCTTCACAGCAAAACAAAAGTTACCAAGACTGTGTGGCAGAGCACAAGTTGTGCCTGCCACTTTAAGAGGTTTAGGCAGGCTACGGACCAGCCGGCAGGTGCAGTCAGGTCCACTTAGGTGGTCACATGACCACAAGGGGGCCACCAGATTGGATGAGGGCTGGACAGCTAGGGTATAAGCCCAGGACCTGGGAGTAGAGCTGGCAGTTACATGAGGGAGCCAATGGAGTAACATCACACAGTCTGAGGAGAGCAGTTCCTAGAGCATCTGGAGGTTAAGGGTAGGAACTATGGGGATGAAGGCGGTTCCTTCTGGTCCTGGGTAAGACCTGAAACTACACCCTGCTGGGGTTGGATGGTGTGGTGGGACTGCCTGTGGTGGGGCAGTCTCTAGGAAATCCCACACCTGTGCCTCCCCAGTGAAAGGTGAGGATGGGGCACCGTGAAACCTCAGCTCCCACTGCCTTGTGGGTACCCCATGGAGGGGAAAGGCTAGGAGTGCACACCCTGACAGAAAAGCACAGGTCCCAGGTCCACTGAGGGGGGCCTGAGACAGGGGCCAAGGCCCACTGAGTGGGGCCTGAGACAGGGGCCAAGGCCCATTGAGTGGGGCCTGTGGCCCAAGGGGTGTAAGGCTAAGTAGCCCAAATGAGGGGCAGAGTAGTGGCCCACTAAGGGATAAAGAGTGGCCTAGAGAAGGGGCCAGGAGGCCAAGGCCCACACAGTGGGGCTTGAGGCCAAATCTGGGGCATAGATTTAGTGCAACCCAGCAAAGGGGAGTTATGGTGAATTAGAAGCTATCTGGAAGGCATGGGAGATGGGGTAGAGGTGGTTTGGAGCCATGTATTTGGCCCAGTACACCATGGCCACAATTAGGGCAGCTTCCTGCATTTAACAACAATTATTGTAACATCAAAGACATGGCAGACGAGTCAGGGCAGACTGTTCTAGTCAGGGGGTGGCCCTATGACATACGTGGCTCAAGGGAGAAGCTCGTAGTTGCCCCCCCTGCTGCAGACTGGCATCACCGACCTTCAGTATTCTGACGACTGGTTATCCTCATGCATACTGAGACTGATCTGCAATCCACCCATGACCTTTTCTCAGGTGCCCATCACAACCTGGGGCTCTCCTTTAACATTGGAAAGACCAAGGTGCTCCATCATTCTGCCCCTGCACAAGCTGTCCTCCCCCCTCCACAAATTACCATTGGTGGAGAACCCCTGGAAAACGTTGAGCATTTCCCATACCTTGGCAGTTGCATCTCCCATTCAGTCAGGATCGATGTAGAAATTGAACATAGGATTCACTGTGCCAGTGTATCCTTCAGAAAGGTGCTTCACCATGTCTTTGCTGACCGAGATCTGCAGATGGAAACTAAGATCCTGGTCTACAATGTAGTGGTAATCCCCACGCTCCTCTACAGGTGTGAGACACGGGTGACGTATTGAAACCATCTTAAAGGCCTGGAATGGTTCCATCCTTGTTGCCTCAGCAAGATTCTTTGCATTCGATGGGAAGACCACTGCACCAATGCCAGCATCCTCTCTGCAGTTAACATAACCAGCGTTGAGGCAAAGATCATGAAACATCAACTCCACTGGGCTGGCCACTGTATGCAGATGGTTGACACTTGTCTCCTGAAGCAAGTCTTCTTCTCTCAGCTTAGTCATGGTAAGAGGACCCACAGAGGACAGAGGACGTGCTACAAGGACACCCTAAAAGCAGTGGCGTAGCGACGGGGGTAGGGGGGTAGGAGGGGGTCATGGCCCTGGCACTGGCCTGTGGTGGGGAGGGGATGTTGGCCAGGCCGAGAGGCCGCAGCGCCTCCCACATTTGGTGTGTGGCCCGCCCTCCTGCCTGGCAGGTTGGGCATTTGTTTACCTGTTATGGATGGAAAATCTGGCCACCACCCCTCCCACAGCGTCCGGTGTGCCATGGTGTCAGTTTCCCCATGGAAGTGGGGCAGGAGAGGGGGCAGCATGCCCTGCTCAGATCACCCCCTGGGCGCCGGAGACTGATGATACACCACTGCCTAAAAGCATACCTTAAGAAGCGGGGCATCAACCCTATAAATTGGAAGTGCTGGCTGGTAACAGGTCTCAATGGTGCTGCACCATACATCAAGCTACAGCCCACTTCAAAGAGAACTGTCTTAGGAAGCTGAGAAATGGCAGAGGAGGAAGGAAAGTGCACAACATCCTGGCTAACAGTTGTGCCCCCCCCTGCCCCCAGGCACCACTTGTCATATCTGTAGAAAAACTTGCAGAACATGGATTGGACTCCTATGCCACCTTAAAACTCACCAGTAATCACCCTTGCAGACATCATCCTTGTATCAAAGGGGAGTCGATGATTTACCCTACCAACAGAAATTCCCTCTCAGAAATGGGTATTTGTGTTTCTAGTATCACAGATACAGGTCTTCTGCTTTCAAGTACTAATAAGCATTCTTGCCAGAATAGCAGCCTTGCTTAAGGAGACTTTCTGCAAGTTTAGTCCACAGTCTTAGCACTTGCAGGTGTTAATATTCTCACCCTCTCAGGGCTGGAATCCAGAAAGGCCATCTTGATACTGTGGTGTGCTTGGTAGCCGTGTTTTTCTGAGACAAAAAGACACAGAAAACTAGAACTCTTGTTTCCAAAATGATACCTTTTATTAGACCAACTGGAAAATGGTTCTTGCCATTTTCCAATTGATCTAATAAAAGGTATCATTTTGGAAACAAGAGTTCTAGTTTTTTGTATATCTTGATACTGTTGCTCCTTCTGGTAAGATCTTTTTTAACTTCAAGTGCCAGGGCTGCTGCTTTGGAATTGGAGGGAGCTAGCTCCAGGCCCTTCATCCTCCTGGAAGCAGAGGGAAGAACACAAAATGCAACCAAAGGTGTTTTTGTCTTGCTGTTTCAGGCCTACACAGTATTTTGCTCTTCAGTTGGGTGAGGTTCTAAGTCAGGAGTAGAGCATTGACCCTTATAGAAAAAGAATTTAAGCTGCACTGTTATTTTCTGGGCTGAAATTTGATAATTAAGCAAATATTGCATGCCTTTGCCTTGGGTGAGCAGCATGAGGTAAACAGGAAGGAATGAGGGATTAAGATGTCTCTCTTCTAAAGGAAGGTGACAAGCCAAGAGCTGTGACACCTTTGCACAGAACTGAGAGGCCCAGCTGTGGGGCTGCATTGTTCAGTGGTGTAGAGCAAATAAAAGCAAAGGGAAAAGAAAACAAGCTATAAAATTCCCCGCAAATCACACAGCTCTTGCAACCGCTGCTTGATGTTTCTTTGACAGCTCTGAGGAATGGCAGGAGAAGGGCTGAGCTTTTGATGTTCCCTCTTCAGTTTTCTTTTGCAAAGGCCCTTGTTAAAATAGCCTCTGTGTTGACATTAGGTTGCATAGGGCAGAGAGATCGGCAACTCCTGGCATGTTCGGTCATGGTGTAATTGTCAGTTGAGAACACTAGCTCTTATTTATTTAACATGGTGCCAGACTGACCAAAGCCCTGCAATGGGTAGAGAATGGTCAGCAAGGAGGACAGAAGGCAGGGTAGACTTGCACCTTATACACTCATTAAATCACAGAGGCATAGCATAGGCTTTCATAAGAAGCAGACTTACTTCATCAGATGGCTGTGAAGGGATCACAGGAAGTCCCTTCACAGCATCTGATGATGTAAGCCCGCTACTTACAAAAGTTTATGCTATGCATCTCTAATTTAGTTAGTCTACAAGGTGCAAATGTACCCTTCCTTCTGCCTGATTTCCAATGAACATGTCAAATTACCTCTGCTCATGGATAGCGATGAGGAGAGAGTATTTAGGTTGTCTTGTTTTGAGTGATAGATATGAAGTACTCAATAATGCTATGGGCACCAAACCATCAAAGGAATAGTAGGGAAGAACATTTGAGAGAACTAAATGAAATCCTTACTTAGGCCACAGTCACAGCTATGCCAAGTGGATGTATCAGTGTATGTGTGTGAAAGTGCATATTGAAGAGAAGAACCCATTTCTAATGCTTAAAACTGAGATGGAGTTGGAAGGAGTCTTAGCTTAGAAAAGCACCAAGAACTTACTGGTGAATTGGACTCTCCCAGGAAGGGTGCACTTGACATATTCTGTATCTAGTACTGTACAGTGAAAAATATATAACAGTAGTTTTCAAACTCCTTAGACCAACTGATTCTTATTCTCCCTGAAAATTTCTTGTGGGCCAGCATCACCCTTATCCTCAAACTTGGTCCGTGACATGTTGGAAGCTACTTTCACTATGATCAGGAGTAAAAAGGACTGAGAGTAACAGGTTGGGGTGTGGCTTTACATTGTCTCATGAAACCATTTACCACAAGGGGCAATGTTTCTGCTTTTGTCTCCTTTTCCACAGCTTGTAACTGCAATCTTCATGCGCGGAGGTGCCGCTTTAATATGGAGCTCTACAAGCTTTCAGGCCGCAAGAGTGGAGGGGTTTGCCTGAACTGTCGACACAACACAGCAGGCCGCCACTGCCATTACTGCAAAGAAGGCTTCTATCGGGACCTGAGCAAGCCAATATCTCACAGGAAAGCATGCAAAGGTACACAGTGAAAGGGTCTGGGGGAAGGGCTGGGATACTATAAAGATCTTTCTTCAGTTGCCTTCCTGTTTGCTGTATTCACATCAAGTTTAACAGGTTATTTTCACTGTACCCTGTCAAAAAGACTGTACCAAAAAAGTACACCCTTACCTTCTAACCCTTTCTTTCCTTCCTTGCCTCATTCCTCATAGCCACAGTCATGAGACCTGCCCAAAGTTGGGCATTTGGATGGAGCCTGAGATATTTTTCAGTATAAGTTTAAAGAAGAAGTTTTAGGGTCAGATTTTTTTGAAAGATCTGTCTCTTGTACCTGCCATTCAGAAAGTATAAAGCCACAACTGTCTGATTAGCATGTAATAAAATCTGTCTTATTTGAAATCAGTTGCAGAGTTAGAAAACTGAAAAATCTGACCCTCTTAAAAAATTGTTTATTCATCCTGTTACAGTCTAACCAGCAGCCATGTGCATGCGTGCACAGGTGCGCGGACACAGATACACACCTCTCACAACTGTTCAGTCATTTTGAGCTGCTATTCAGAACACACGTGGCCAGGCAAGCAAAAAAAAAAAAAGAGAGAGATGGAAAAGAAAACTCAGACAAAGGAGAAGAAAGACAAAGGTGTGAACAGATTGCCAGGGTTATTCAGATTAGCAAATGGGGCTCTCACATTAAAAAGCAAATCTCTGCTTCCCTCTCTTCTCACAGGTGTGCATACCAGCAAACAGTGGTCTCCATTCAACAGGCTTAGCATCTGGGAGAAGAAAGGTTATTCCTCTGACGAACACATATGGACATATATCTCCCATACACAGACAGATTTCAAGCATTAGGGGGGAAAAGTAAAAGAGAACATTCAATCCATGTACAAACAGCTTTACTCCTCTGGACAAAATAATAACAAAAAAAAGTGGGGGTGGAGATCTGTCGAGGCGTAGTGAACCAGTTTAGTTGTCCAGATGTTTTAATTTTCTTCATCAGTGGAAGTAAAACAAGCATGGGGGATACAGGGTATAAGACAAAATGCAAGGGGTTCACAGTGGTTATAGGGAGATCTGCTGAATTCTCTCCAAAAAGTTACTACTCCAGCTGTTCACAGACAGGAATAATTATTGTGCCCCTGCACCAGCAGCGTGTATTCAAATGTCCTTCAGTTTGCTTTTGAATTTTTTGTTGTTGAGATCCAGAGATTAGTATCAGTAGCAAAACTTGTAGATGACTTTTCTCTCTTGTAAGTGAGAATTGCGGCTACATGCAGTAGGGGAAGTACTGGAACAGTAAACTCTTTAGGGTGCCAAGTGAAGGGGAACAAGGTTTAAGTGAGAACTCAGCACATCCGAGGAGACTTGGGTCCAAGTGGATTCTCATCCTCTCAGGATTTATTTGGCTAGTAGGTCCGGGTTGGTTACCACACAACATGTTCTCATTGTTGTTGGATAAGACTCCTCAGCACCTCATGTTCTGCTTTCCCTTTTTCATTTGCATTTATACAAAACAGGGTAAGATCAATTGCATAAAATTAGGTCTTGTTTTAGTTCTCAGCTTCACTATTGAGAGAAAAATGCATTATGGACATAAGCCACCCCAGTCATCTCAGCAAAATACATGGGCAGTCAGCAGGGGCTAATTAGTAGAGATGCAGAGAAAATGCTGGGATTTTCCTTGCAGATCGTTTCAATTTCTTGTTGAAAAAAACAAAAAATATTTAATAAAAAAAAATTAGTTTTGGGCCACATATGGAAGTTGCTTAGTTTTGGCTGAAAAGTTTCCTTTTTTTTTTCTTTTTTCTTTTCTTTGCTTTTCTTTTTACAAAAACCTCATTTTTTTTCCTGTGGAAAGCATAAACTTATACCAAAGGACAATTGTTTAATCAAAAATGCAATTTTCCATTGCAAAACAGTTATAATGGAATTTTTTCAAATGACCCTGCCATCGAGAATTTCTGGAGTCTTAAACAGCTGGGATTTTGGCAGAGGAGAATACAGGTGGAGTGAGAGTGGCCTTGAAAGCAGTCCAACTTTTTGAACAGGAGTGGCCTTCAAAGAGGGGAAAGTAGTTCAGCATCATTACTTGGACACAGCAAAGGCAGGGAGAGCAGGAAGACCAGAAAAAATCCAGCCTAGGGTGGGAAAGCAACTTGGAATAGAAACCTTTTAATATTTTTCAAGCTGCTCAATGGCCCCAATAGAAGTAACTCAAGTGATTGGTAAATTATTTGTGGAGCACAGCCGTGCCTTGCCCTTAATGATCTGAGTGGATATGGTTTGCAATTCAGTTCATATTTTTTATTTCAAGGCAGGGTCCCAGACTAAGTAATAATGTGTTAGATGGAAACAAACAAAGGAAAATTCTGATCACATGGTGTCTTTCCTAATGAAAATAGGAGGGGGAAAACAGGTCCAGAAAGACAGAGAAAAGGGGAAAGAGTGTTTCATCCGTATTTGGATCAAAAGAGCATGTATAAACCTTGTTTCAATGTTGTCTGAGTTGTGGTCACATACTCCAGACGTTATTTTCATTTACACTCAGGCCTTTTACACCATTCTGACACTGTAATTGGGCTGCAGCTATGGATTTGATACAATTATACTTACACCAACAAAAAAGCACTGCCAAAGTATAAAAAGACCTTAGCATAATTGAGAGTCACAGCCTCTGATCTGCATTTTGCAGTTAACTAATTCTGTAGCCCTTACCCCCATATCTGCCCTGTTGTCTAGCCCCAGTTCTGCCTCTGTCTGGCAGCTGCAACTCTGTCATCCTTGCCACTCCTAGGATCCTTCTCCCCCTTCCATGTAGGGAGGTAGACCTGGCTGGAGGATCCAGACCCCTTGTCCCCATGCCTGTGGTTGCAGGGTAAAGGAGAAGTAGAGAGGATCTCATGAATAGTTTACAAGAGGAGACAGAGAAGGTAGGAGCCGAGCCATCCTGCCATGTTTTTGGTTTCTTCCTTTCCCCTCTTGTGACCCTAAGGTCTCTTTCCCCATACCCGATAACTTTTATCATCCCTTGGAAGAAGTGGGGGAGCTCTGCCTGCTACATGCAGCAGCTACGATTGGCTACCAGGAGGAAAGGGAATGATGACTGATGTTGGTTTCTGCACTGACACAGAAGAGGGTGTAAACCCCCCCAGCCCCATGCAGCATCAGCAAGTGTAGGCTTGCTAGCAGACTTTGCAGTTCTCAAAGAATACAAAGAAGCATGAACAGATGAGCCATCATGCATTCATCTTTCACCCTCAGGTACGAGGGAGCCTAAAATCACTAGAGCACAGCAGCCACACTTTGTTTCATGCAAACTTCCAATGTTCCTCTGCAACACAGGCTGCAAGAAGGGACAGTAGGGGCATTCCTCTGGGTTCCCACTTACTAGGAAACTTCTTTGCACCATGAGTTTTTTCATGAGGGTGTTTGACCCTTCATACCTAGAATAATTATTTTATATACATTGCACACGTTTCTACCCTGCTCAGGAGTCTAGGGCTTTTGATCCATTTTTTATTGTTTTAGAACCCCCCCAAAAAATCAAGTTTGGGTTTAAAAAATCCCATAAGCATGGTCTTGGACTCTTGTTTGAACCAGTATGTAATAATGACACTCACCCACACAAAGGTGCCTTGACAACACAGAATCTCAAACTCACCCACTGCAGGATTAGACCCCAGTGCAGGACAGTGTTGACAAGACAGAATCAGTATCTTTTAACTTCCATCTAGCTACTAGTAGATGGCAGTACCTATCCCAGCGAACTGCAGACAGCCCAATGGTTGTTTCATGGAGTGCTCAGGCCATGCTGTGCACCCCACACTCATTTTCTTTTTGTCCCCACTGTTTTCCAGTGCTTTCCTTTACTTACTGCTCTTCCCTCTTCATCTCTCCTCTACACATCCTAAAATCCTACTTCTGAAAGGATTCACCCTGCAATCTGGTTATTTTACCCCTTCTATTACCCCCTCAATTTGCTTGAAACCCCTAGTAGCTTGCAACAGAAGATCATGGGATTTTACCACATCAGTGGGGTTGAGGCTGAAGCATCTAAGCGGCATAGGTGCTGTATAAAACTTTCCCCTGGGGTGCATATTTGTGCTGAAAAATCAGTCCAAAGTATTACAAAGCTTTAGCTGGTGGGAAGGAGCTATTCTAGATCATTTTTTCCTGTGGGAACCAAGTCTCCTGGCCACGTGATTTAATCACAAAGGAACCAGAGTATTCCCTTCTGATCAACCTGACCTTAGTCCTAATGCATCAGGTTTCCAGTCCTAGAACGTTAAAGGCCCGAATAAAACACTGCTTCCACTAAAGTCTGTGGGAGCTTTGCAGTTGCCCTTGGTTGAACAGGATTGGAGTCATGCTGCTTTTATGAGCCCAACTATGAGCAAAAAAAGGCTTTTGATGGAACATCGCTGAGGGCCCAGTAGGAGTTATGCTCTGAGCACTTCTTTCCTTCCCCTTCTAATGCTCTCAAAGGCCTGTAGTCAGTGAAATATGGCCTAAATCAGTAAGTCACCTTTCTTATGACTGCTTGCTGTTGATATGCTGGTATCAGACTCTTCTAAGGGAGCTGACTATTAAATCTGTGCTGGTAACTATCCCATCTCAAAACAAATATTTTTTGCCTATAGGCTGAAATTGCTATGACAACTACTTTAGCTTTTCATAGCCTGCAGAGGGCTTCTCCAAGTCAGGGGAGAATTGATCGAGCAATGTCCCACTGCTATTGATGTACCATTTTTATGTCTGCCAAACTAGCAGCTTCTACAAGCATTAAAGGTGAACTTAATTGTTGTGCAGAGGGACAGCATTATCCCCCTGCATCCCCACTGTGCTAGTGCATGTATCTTGTGCTCTCTTTAGCATGGCAATAAAAGTCATACTGGGGAAGACTTATCTAATGGCTAGTGCACAGGTTTGGAAGGAAGGAGACCTGTGTTCTCATCCTTTCTCTTCCACTAACTCACTGTGTGACTTTCGGCAGGTTGGTTGCCCACTGGGAATCACACTTA